ACTTACGTTACATTGCGTACATGACTTGTAAAACTTATACGTATGTATGTATATCGAAAATATCCCTCTGTAGATAGGGCATAGAGAAAAGCTTAGCAAAAGAAACTATTTTCCAAATGCAAGCACTTGCCTGTACATTCAGAGACAGAATCAGCTTAAAATGCTCTGTAGAATGAGGCCAGCCATTTTATCATTTGAAAATTGGGAAGTACAAGTTACTTAGGGTTTCATTAAAATATCTATAGAAGAGCAAGCTCTGTGATCGATAAAGAACGTCAGCTGTATCTCGGCAACCAGGCCGGCAACCACTCAATCTAGAGTCACCGGCTAAAAAATAGTGACCAAGAGAGGATCAGGCACAAAACATTTATAGAAAATGGGTCCCAGTTGATTTGTCTAAGTATTTAGTAAAATATATTTCTTGTCTTCCCCAACAAAAGTGTCAATGGGACCAAAGCAATCCTAGGATTAGTTTATGAGAAATAGGTTTGCAAAAAAGGTGCATGTGCCAATTGTATCAGGTTTCCCAATAGGGACAACTTTGAACTTTTACTGTGAACGCACACTAAATCAATTACCGAACTGTCAAGGTCAAAACATTCGGCAAAGAAAACATGTTCATCAAGGTGAAGAACACGAACGAACAACGCTTACAAATAATTAAAATTTACTACCGAAAGTCCGAGTCGGTGTCTGCAACTTTAAGAGCGTTAACGCCAATTTTTGGTCGTAATTCTCGACCGAGGAGACAAGCAATTCATAGTCTAGTAAAAAAAATTGGAGTTCATGCTTCCATCGCAAATGAATATAACACGTCTATTTCACGGCGCGGCGTTCTCAAGAATTGGTCATCGCTCAGACCTCACTGTAGCGAAGAGATCTTGGCCTACACCCTTATAAGATCAAGTTAACTCAAGAACTAAAGCCGTTCGATCATTTGAACCGACGTATCTTCAGTTATGAGGCGCATTTTGTGCTAAACGGCTTCGTCAACAAACAGTATATGCGTTATTGGTCAGGTGAAAACCGCCATGTGCTTCAAGAAACACCAATTCATCCACAAAAAATACTGTATGGTGTGGCATTCATGCCGGTGGTGTCACTGGGCCGTTCTTTTCGTTTATGAAAGTGACAGTCACGTTACAGTCAGCGGATATCGCTGCAGAGACATGTCGTAACGTTATTTTTTTGGTTAATTGTGTGGGCTAGACATTAATGATATGTGGTTTCAACAAGACGGTGTCACAAGCCACACAGCGGGTAGAATAATCGACATATTGAAATCAAAATTCGGTGAACGTGTTATATCGAGAAATGGTCCTGTCGAATGGCCGCCTAGATCATGTGATTTACACCTCTAGAATTTTTTGGCGGGGCTACATTAAATCATGGCCGAGTCATTGAAAATTGGGTTCAACCAATCAATCGCTGCGTACGTGCCCGAATTCCATACATAAATGTTTTGAGTATACTTCAATCCAATAATAAAGTTTTCAAGATATCTTAAACGGTTTGCGTTTTATTTAAATAGAAAGTTGTCAAATCCTTAATGGAAAACCCTAGTTCTCAGACCAAGAAATCGGAGAATCAGTATGCTCAAAGAAATATTTCGCTAAAAGGTAGGTGTTTGGAGGTGTCATGTTGTCCAGTTGCAGGATGAGTTGATTTTCATATGTTTATGCTGGAATAGATCTGGAAAGGTTTTCGACCGAATGCAAAGCTTACATTTTTCTTAAACAAAATATTTACCTACGTACAAAAAAATGTTAAATCAGATTCAGATAACAATGAGTTCCTTCTGTACGGTTTACGAATAGTCCATACGCCATTCGAAGTTCTTTGTTACAAAACTTTTCTAGAAAGTCTCTAAATTCGCCGTTGAAAACTACTTTTTGAATAAAGAGTTCTAAACTTGTATTAAATAGAGGATTCCTTGATGTCATTGTATTGTTAGGTAAGTTATGACGTATATATTGGGAAATGTCTTTACCTCTGGGAGGAAATCAATGGCAGACGTCCATGGAATTAGTCAATGGATATCGTTCAGCTACCAAAACAGGATAGGTAGTTCGAGAGTTATTCAAGTACTGCATTAGGAATCTTCATAAAATAGCTCATGCTCTTATTGATAGGTACCATCATCTGATTAGTTTAAAAGGTAGATTAGCGCATCAGCTGTTGATAACGGCGCAAGAAGGGAGCCCCAGTCTAGCGTTAGGCGATCCGCGAGAGGGATATACTCTGGTTTTTGAAATCCAGTAAAGTGCGGATTATGGGTATCTTATCAAAACGTTTATGAAAATAACGAGGATGCATCTGATAATCTTGCAATGATTAATGAGCATTACTGTAGATGTAAATCTGATGTCCGAACCCTACGCATATAAGGTTTCTTGTCATACTGTACATAATAGTGGAGTATGGTTAACCTTCGAAAAAGTTGACTCGATGTATTAAATATGTTGGAAGCATACCAAAAGAAATAAACTCAAATTAATAATTCATAAAATACAGTTCCCTGGAGCTACATTCACATTAGTGCATTTTTTCTTTCCCCTCCACCTTCACAATCAATATGTCTTAAATGTTACCTTGTAAAGGTCATAAAAAAAGACATGGAAACAACCACGACATGTCTGCGCATCGAAAAGCAACCTGCCCTATTGAGTTTTCGGGCTTCTCGTGTCAGATCTACTCCTGCATTCCTACTCTACTGGCGGGGCCGTAGCAAATGCTTGTTCCGGAAGTTGTTGTATCCAGTATACATCTTCTTGCCGTTCAAGTAATTGTACACGCGTTAAGGAATATCTCAGTATAGATCGCCGAGTAGCGGTGACAAGTCAACGGGCCAGTTTCGGTCTATTTAACATCATTAACACGAAAAAAAGTGGTAGACAAGGACCAGTCGACCGAGGCGGTACCACCCGTTAGCTTTTCCCAGGGTGTCTTATAAATGTCCGCATGTTTCCACACCTAAGCTACGCAGTCGGTTATCTTCCCCAACAAAGAAATTAATGATGATGGATCTCTCGAGTACTAAGAATTAAACTGACGCCACTCTCTGAATGTCCGGGTGGAGGGTGGACTCGAGGGAACAACATCGAAGATAAAATTTGTTTCACGAGCATCTGCTGTACTAACAGCAATATTGATGCTGTTCATCACTACTTGCTGCCTTTATCGCTCTCCCTTGGACCATAACTGGGATGACCTACTTGAATACCTCGCCGTCAAGATCGACTTCCGGAACATAAATCACTCTGCTTCAGAGGTAGTCCTCCTCGGTGATTTCAATGCCCAAAATGAGCTTTCGTTGGGCTCAAACAAGACTGATACAGCACATCGTGCAGTTGAAGCATCTGCTCTTATTCAAGTGTTGAACCAGCTGGTGACAAGCTCTACTTTTTTCCCCCGTGTCTCGACACATGACAGTAGCCTGCTGGATCTCTTTCTTACCATGCATCGTGTCCCTTATAACACTGCTGTCCACGCTGGGTAACTCAGACCACGGTACTGCAAAATTTGCCATTACGGACATGCTGACTGGGAGGGGCTCAGAGACTTCTTCTCGACCTCTCCTTGGAGAGATGTTTGTTTCCATGACGTCGATGTGTCGGCTGTCTGTTCTTCGATAAGCGAAATTATCCAGGTCGGAATGGAGGAATACATCTCTCATACAGTGAAAGTGCCTAAACCAGGGTCCAACGGCTGGTTCAACAAATCGAGTGACATTGCTTGCCAGCGAAAGATCAAGGTTCAAGGAACCTTCTCACAAAACGCGACTGTAGAGAACAGACAAACCGATGCCGAATCCAGAAACAAATATAACGAAGCCGTTTGCAATACCAAAAGCCAGCATGATTTAAAAGTTAGGCTCAGGGTAATGTCGCAGCGCAATGGCAGTCGGTCTTTCCGGACCCTGGCCAAGAGCCGATTGAAAGAAACTTTTCACACAGTAGCCTTCCACCACTTACGTGTTGAGATGGAACAATTGTGGCTGACTCAAAGACCAAGGCGGAAGTGCTTGCAAAGATCTTTGTTGCCAACTCCACAATGTGCCACCGATTCAAAGGGTTCCGTCACGAAAGCGTTTAATCAGTTTTTCTGGGAGGCCATACGATGGAAGTTTGCTTAACAGGTTAAGCGCCACGGCGGACACCGGTGTCCGACTTGTGATTAGTTTTCTGGGCAACGGCGGACACTGGTGTCCGCTTGTATGTAATTTTTTTGTTATCCTTACCGGGCCGAGAGGACACGCTTGTACGCGCTTTAACGTAGTGGTGTGTCCGCCACGGTCCTGGAGCATAAAACGCTGACACCAGGTTTTTTATAGCAATGCTTTTTAGATAAATTTGGTGACATTTATATTGTTATGTAAAATTTATAATCTTGCTGTATTTTCTAGATTCTTCTCTAAGTTATTAGAACTAGTTAAGAATGAAAACAAAAACATATTTAGCGATCAAAGTGTATTGAAACGTGTATTGAACAGAAATGTTTTACAAATACCTATAAACTAAATTTATTTTTCAAGACTTTAACGATTTTTGTGGAATAAATTAAAACACTCCAGACAGAACCTAGGATTATCTTCGCACTGCGCACAATACGTTATTTCTTTTTTAACTTTATTTTTTCCAATAAGGACTTCTTGTTTTTTTTGTAACATCCCTTGCAGTACCATCTATTTTCCCGCGCCTTACAATCTAATTTTGAAAATACATGAGCCCTCAAGCTGGTTTTTACAGGACGTACACGTTCATAGGAATTACTGTCGTCAAATTTCAGCAACCCTTCAATGACTGCATAACGAAAATCAGTTATAGAAATGTCGCTTTGCTCGATCTCCCTATAAATGAAATGAGCGTTTACGACTGATGTACCTAACAAAATTTCTATTGCTACTTTTTTGTACCAGTGGATAGTTCGCCGCAGCGCCGTGCTATTGCTAGACATCTGATCGGATAAGTCTATGGAGCTTTTGCCAGAATTGTAGTCAATCACGGCATTTTCTTGGGCAATAATTTCGCCTTTTTCAGTTTTTTCTTCAAAACTTTGTCTGGATTCCCCTTGAGATTATTTCGCAAAGTACCCAGGCAATGTGTTTTGTTATCCAAAAGTATATGAGCCAGTTGGAGGCTGGTATACCAATTATCAATTACACAAATTCTGCCAGACCCTAAGAGATTCCTCGCCAATTTTAGCACTATACTGGTAGATACTGCTAGTTGGCCTTCCTTCACTTTGCCTGCGTACACACTCAGGTTCCAAGTGCACCCATTCTGAGTACACAACTTAAATACTTTGATACCATATTTATTTCCCTTTTGAGGATTGTATTGTTTGAACAATAATCGCCCCTGAAAAGGAACCATGGTTTCATCAGTGCAAAATGTTTTTCTTGGTGTAAATATTTTTTAACAGTTAGTTATAATTTTCTCTATTAGAGGCTGTACTTTATACAATCGGTCTCCTTCTGGGCACTGGGAGTTATCAGAGAAATGCCACATTTTTAGAAGTATCTCAAATCGATTACGACTCATAATATTAGAAGCAACCTCATTTTTGAACAGCCACTTAGTTGACCAATAGTCCCGGATAAAATTCATTCGCACCATTCCCATGTAAAACAGGAAACCTAGAAATTGTGCCAATTCTTTTCTTGTTGCAGGCTCCCATTTTTGAACACGGGCATGATTAGAGATATTTTCGTTTCGCATAAGAAATTCGGTGGCGTATTGATTTGTTTGTTCCACCATAAGATCCAGAATATAAACATCTACAAAAGCCAAATAATATTCTACTGGCCAGAGACCCTTTAACGCAGCATACAACTCAGGTTTTACACCAGCTTCGTAAGTTCCTACAAATTCTGAATGGTTTCCAACGGGCACACCCCAAACTGAGAGAGACAAGTCGTGCAAGTTGATGACTATTCCACTATCAGGTTCTTCTTGTGAATCTCGGGCCAAATTATCTTCAATTTCAGGTCTATCTGCATCTGACGCTGAGGTACTGTCTTCAAAATTTTGAACTTCAGCGTTATTTGACTCATATTGTAGTTCTTCTTCTGATTCGTCTTCTGTGCTTTCTTTTTCGAGCCGGCTTCGTTTGCTGGGGCGTTGAAAAGATGTGGTGGGAATATCAAAAACCAAGTTTTTTACTGTCATCTCCAACACTTTCACTACTGCTTGGTGGAATGAATGCTGCGTCATCGATAGAATTGTCAGAAAACGCTTCATCTGAAGAGTCACCTAAAAGTATTTTACCTTATTTGTCAAGTATGTAATAGACCAGTGATTGTCGTCCACGGGTGTATGTGGATATGTTAGTGATACATACGACAAACGTCAGTAGAAAGCTACGTAGCTACGCCAGACACCCGTGAAACTTAGTTGGTGCATCGCAAATTTTACTATATCTGCCATTTTGTAAAAACAATGCAGCTAAGTAAGACATTTAGCAATCTAATTTGCCATTTCAATCAGTGTAAACTTACATCGCTGTATTGCTGTTAGACGATCGCACCAAAAAATTAAAACTACTATTCAACATAATCCAAACAAAACTTACTTTCGTTGCCCTTTTTATTCTGCAGACACAACTCCAGTATCCTTCTTGATCGTTTAGACACTATTGCACTAAAAATGTCACTTTATGCAAAATACTTCAATTAAAAAGTTTAACGCATCATAATCGAACCAATACAAAAGTAAACTAACCTAAAACCTGTCTGTACGAGTAAAAATAGATCGTCGGTCACTTTGGGAAATATCGTGTCCGCTCGTTTTTAAACGTTTCCCAGGGCCATGGCAGTCACCGGTGTCCACCGACAGGTTGTGCTGGGCCACAGCGGACACCGGTAGCCGCAAGCGGTTTGCGTCAGGCCATAGCCGACACCGGTGTACGCTTTACTTATTTTTAAAAGTTTATGTAAAAAAAGAAATAAATGATGAGGATTAGATGATAATTATAGATGAAAATTTTAAAAAATGTTAAAAATATTATTGGCCCAGAGAAATATTTTGGTGCAAAATCATTGGCACTTAACCTGTTAAGAGGGCAGCATCCCACAGCTGATCGAACGCTTTCGTGATGTCAAGAGCAATGACATGAGCCTCACCATAAGACTGGATGAGTTTACTCCAGAATTGCGTCACGTAAGCTAGGAGGTCCCCTGTGGATCGTTAGTGACGGAAACCATACTGCCTGTGGCTAATCAAGCTGTGACTTTCGACGTAGTCCAGAAGCTCGCGATTTATGCACTTCTCCATCACCTTACTTATAACAGAAAGCAGAGCTATAGGCATGTAGTTGTAAGGGTCGGTCTTAGATCCTTTTTTTGGGATGGGTAGAACATGAGCAAATTTTCAGTTTCCTGGGAAGGTGCCGGACTCATAACATATCTGGCAGAGACGCGAAAGAACTGGAGCAAGCTCCGCTGCACACCTCTTCAGTACAATGGCCGCCTTGGCCTTTGAGTCGAATACAAAAGTTCCATCCTGACATGTAAGTGGTGGAAGGCTACTGTGTGAGAAGTTTTTTTCAGTCTGCGTGGCCAGCGTCCAGAAAGACCATTGCGCTGCGAAATTACCCTGTGCCTAACTTTTATATCGTGCTGGTTTTTGGCTTTGCGAACCGCTTCGTTATATCTGACGGCTTGTCTGTTCTCTACAGTGGGGTTTTGTAAGAAGGTTTTGTGTGCCTTGATCTTCTGCTGCCGAGCAGTGTCACACGGTTTGTTAAACCAGCCGTTGGACCTTGGTTTAGACACTGTCAATGTGTGAGGGATGTATTTCTCCATTCCGACGAGGACAAATTCTGTTATCGAAGAACAGACAGCCAGCGCATCCACGTTAGTGAAACAGACATCTCTCCAAGGAAAGCTAGAGAAGAAGTCTGTGAGCCCCTCCCAGTCGGCATGTCCGTAATGCCAAGTTTTGCGGTCTGTACGAATTTCTGCTGCCACAGCGGGTTCTGACCGAAACCTAACCTCCACAACACCGTGGTCTTAGTTACCCAGGGGGGACAGGACAGCAGTGCTGTAAGGGACAGGATGCGTGGTCAGAAAGAGATCCAGCTGGCTACTGGCGTGTGACGAGACGCAGGGGAAAAAGTAGGGTCAGCCCTTGAGTAGGAGCGAACGCTTTGACTGCACGACCTACTGAATCGGTCTTGTTTGAGGCCAACCAAAGCTCATTATGGGCATTGAAATCACCGAGATGGACTACTTCTGAAGCGGCGAGGTATTCGAGTAGGTCATCCCAGTTATGATCCGAGGGAGAGCGATATAGGCAGCAAATAAATTTGGGAGGTGGTTTGGAGTTGGGGCGAAGCCACAGAATGTGCTTCCGGTCTCATTCTAAAGAAACATCTCTGGAGCAGGCAAGACTGCTGCGAACAAAAACCACAACTCCCCTGTTCTTTCTCAGATTGGAGTGCACCTCGTAGTTTGGGAAGTTGAAATGGTTAATCGGTGCAGACTCTGAGATTGTGTCGCTCTTGTCGGCTGACCTCTTCTTTTCGTCTGTGTCGTCCTGTTGCTGGTTGTCCACTTCTCGGGCATCCATCTCATTGTCCGATGTGGTCTTCTGGTCCTCGTCTTCTTCTTCTGCTGGGGTCTTCTTTGCCTTCCTCTTCGCCTTGAGGAGCTTCCCTTTGACTTCCTCTGTCTCCTGTTTTGCCTGCATGGAAGCTTCTTGCAGGTTCTTCAACTGCTCCGCAAGCAGCTTGTCAGCTTCTCGATTCTTGCCATCGTAGATAGCAATCGTATCGCGATGAAAATCGCAATATGATCGCACAGTAAGTCCGGGTGGGTCGCAGTCGCACATGTGTACACTCGTGACGGCTGCTAGCTTGGAACTGATGGGTAATGTCAGTGTCTGTCGTCAGTCTGTCAGGACTGGTGGCCCAGAAACCAGAAAAGTTGTAGGGGAAAGGGGAGAGGGAGAAAGAAAGGAAGTAAGTATGAGCGAGAAGAGAAAGAAGAGGAATTGTTTTATGTAAATATTTGAGGTGTGATAGATCTAAGAACTATACTATATAAATTTTTGACTTGACTTAATTTTGTCTTTGGTTTTTAAAAGCTATAATTTTTAAAGGTCTTAACATGAATTTAATTTTGATCACAGTGCGAGTCGTGGCCTGGAATGTTTGCGTATCTCCTCGATTGTGTAATCCACTGCTTCACGCAACAAAGGATTGCTGGGCGATTCGGCTTGCTGGTAGAGCCATTGTGCCATACCTATGATGTAATCCCTAAGGTAGGGGATGTCAAGATCTCTATGGATGGTATCGTTTGATAAATGCCATGGGGCATTAGTTTTTGTTCTGAGAGTTCTAGTCTGCTGAACTTGTAGTTTACGCATATGCGACTTAGCTAAAAAGCACCAAGCCGCACATGCGTAGGTTATTGCAGGTCTGATGATATATCCGAATCTTATTGACCAAACTCAATTTTGATGTTCTACATAAAAGAGGATACAATTGCCGAAATGTAATTTGGAATTTAATTTTCAGTTGTTCAATGTGTGACTGCCAAGTATTTGGCTTTGTTAGCCCAAGGTATCGAAACATCATCCACAGTAATCTCTGACGGGGCACCACGGCGGGCTAATCGGGATATTAGGAAACTCGGCCAAGAGCGATTTGTACAGTTCTCAATCGACACGTTTACTAGTGCAGGATTTCTTGTCTAAGGTATCCTCAGTACCCACCTCAAGAATAACGGGAAGGTGATCGCTTGAGATGTCATACATAATTCTAGAAGAAACACGGAAACCGCAGTTTCTGGATATCGCGAAGTCTGGTGCCTGCAGATAGTTAAAGGGGTGCTGTGAATGACGCATCCATTTCGCATCACATGGTTATACAGGCGAACACCGCTAGCACTGTTGAGACTGGAATGCCATGCATGGTACTTGCAGTTGAAATCCCCTGCCACAATCAGGGGACCCGAGCAGTCGAAGAGGATTTCCAGGTCCGCTTCTTGAAGCGAGGACCGCACCTCACATACACCCTTGTGATTTTTAATGGGACGCCTCCCATCATATTGAACACCACAGAGGCAGCTTCAATGCTTTGTATTTCAGCATTGGTACCTCTGTAGTAATCAATACCACGCTTAACAAGCACGACCAAGCCGCCACCTCTCCCATTCAACCTGTCAGCACGAATAGCATCATAATTCGTGAAGGTTTTCCGCAGCAATACCACATCTATAGACTCGTCCAAAAGGGCCTGGTGAAATTCTCATTTCTTACCGACGTCTCTCAACCCACAACAGTTCCAAGCAGCCTGTCTATTATACTTAGCCATCTATATGCTGCGGAAAGATCGCTTGCCACGCCTGTACTACGCTTATCAGAGGAGTAATAATTTGTTGGAGTGACTTGAGCGCGGTCGCCAGGTCTAGTTGTTGAGAGTTCAAAGCAGGAGCTGCGGCTGAAGTGGCAGGAGCTGAAGGCTTGGCTGTCATTTCAGTATAAGATTTATTGCGCCTCTCGGCGGCTATAACCTGTAGGTTATACACGTTGGACTGTTGGCAGGATGCCCTTCCCGCAGTTTGCGCATTTGCGTACCTTCTGTCTTGTTTGGGGGCACAAATGTGTTAAGTGGTTCTATGCTCATTTTACATATTTGGGTGGCGCTGTACAGTAAGACTGGGCGTGCCCATACCTCTGGCAGCGGTGACACGGGCCAATTAGTTTATTATTCTTCTGAACCTCAACCTTAATTGAGAGGCCTAATAGTTCTTTTTCATTGAATAGTTCATGTGATTTAGGCAGTATCACCACTACCAACGGCATGGGAGTGCCCCCACTGCGTTTTAATCTGATCAGATGGAGAGGGGTATATCCTTTCTGGTCCAGCACCTGCTTCATCTCTTTCTCGTTGAGTGACGCGGGGATACTGCGTAGGACAGCATGTATGTTTCTTTTCGATTGCAGAGGAAAGGTATGATAGGCAATATTTTGCTCTTTAAAATGCCAAATTATCTTTCTGTAATCGTCCTTGGTTTTGGGGACGATTCTAATCCCCCCGTCAATAGCTACCGCGCAATTCATCTTAATCGCTAGAATAATAAATTGATAATTGACGTTTCTCCACTTTTCTGGCTCTCTCAGCTCGACCGGAGAGATGCGCCTTGGTTGAAGCTGCTGTGCCACTGTGCTGGCTGAACCAGAAGGTGCAGCGGTAGTATAGGTCTGTATATGTGAAGTAGTTGTGTGCGATGTATCAATGAGTAGATGAGTATTAATTTGTGAAAGATGTGTAGGAGCAGATTGAGTTGGTAAAAGAGGGAAGTCTTCTGTCGCATGTCTAGCCATTGTTTATCTTTTCCTTTGTCTGGCTGGTGTAAACCCGTCGCACCGTTCGCTGTAATCAGAAAGAGCGTCGTCGTCAATTGGATCCTGATTTTCAGGTCTACGTTTAAGGATGTCAATACGGGAATCTCTACTTAGCTATGTATTCAGTGCTGTAACCTGGGCCGTCAAGCGGTCAATACTTTGATTGAGGCTCTTGATAAGATCCACCTGGTCTGCAATCTGCTGAGCCTGCTGCTGTATCTGGTGGGCCTGCTTTTCAATGATAGTCGTCTCTGGATGGTATAGTTGCCGCTGGCATAGCTAAGTTTTCATCTTGTTTTCTAATTTTGGGTGCAGTTCTGGTAGAGTCTGCATTGCTGGTGGAGGACTGACCATCCTCCGACCCTTCCGGGTCCATGTCCATTTTTTCTCTCGTCTGCTGCTCTATCTGGCGGGCCTGCTTTTCAGTGATAGTCGTCAGCATCTGAATGGTAGAGTTGCTGCTGTCATCTGGCATAGCTGAGTTTTCACCTTGTTTTCCAATTTTAGGTGCAGTTCTGGTAGAGTCTGCATTGCTGATGGAGGACCGACCATCCTCCGATCCTTCCGGGTCCACGTCCATTTTTTCTCTCACCTTTAATTGGCAAAAATGAAAAAATTTCGCGGAAGGACATTTTTGACATCTACAGTCAAAACCCTGTATAGGGCGATATTCCGGACCCTGTTAATATGTCTAATTTGAGGTTTTCAAAACTGTCATATTTTATGCTCCTTGTGCATAAATCGACCATACATTTTTATTTCCTTGCGATTTTCGTTGAAATAATAAACTCATGGCCAACTAAAGAAATACATCACTGAATTTTGGACTGAAAACTCCACTTACATACATAATAATCCAATATAGCGCCCATATGAAAAATCAAACCTAGCGATGGAGGTCCAAAGTATCGATAAAATCCCCCATACTTGTCTGGTCAATAAAATTACATTTATTGAAAAATGTTGTCTGGTCAATAAAATTACATAATTTATTGAAAAATCTTTTCTTCTGTAAACGTTTGAATCACAAAGGTGGTCTTCTTGAGTACAATGACATATATTTCTGATGTTACAAGATACCTCGAAATGAAAATTTAACAACGCCATCTTATAGAAGAGAAAATTCCATCTAAAGTAAAGTAAGAAAAAAAATAAGAGTCAAAATGCAATATGGCGTCTTTAAGAAAAAATATAGTTGAAGCTGGATGGCAAGAGACGAAACGTCATACCGAAATTCTAATTATGCCACCTTGTAGAGGAGAAAAAGCGGCATTTCAGTGTGCAACTTATTTTCAAATCCCACTACAAATAAACTCAGGAAGAAATTTAAAGGCTTTTGGGAAAATTGATTTTTTTTTCATTTCTCTCCCGAAGAACTTTGAATTTCGCAACTTTTTAAGCGAAATTTTGTTAGCTACTTAAATAAGCAACTTTACCTCAATTTTGGTGATTTCGTATCTCCAACCGTTTCCGAAATCCAATGGTAAGGCTCAAATTTGAAACACCCATTGTATCCACGATTTAAAAAAAAATAGTTTGATTTTATACCTTCTAAGGTACCTTAAATATAAAATGACAGATTTTAGCGTAATAAGTTGTATTACAGTCTCTCTGAAAACATGTAACATTTTCTCCAAAACATTAGCACGATACTGATAACTCTCAAAGTGGATATTTTTTTAGTTAGCTTGTTTATTTCTTCGTAAAATCCCATTCTTAGTGTTTTCTTCTCAGATGCACAGTTTCTCTTATTCAAACAGCAACTTGGTAATTGCAAACCAAAAAAAATATTCACATTGGAAAATATGACTAGTATACCAATTTGTTTGTAAAACATATCACAAGATATGTTTGCAGGGGCGCCACTGATAGCGCAATATAACAGCTTTTGTACTAAAATATTTCATTCTAGATTCACTAATAATATGCTAAAATTGAAAATAGTATTTGAAGTACTTTTAAAGATAAGAAATAAAACAATTTTTCTCTTGAACATTCAACATCATGTACGTACAAATGTAAGCCGTTATGGACAAATACTGATATACAGTATATAAATATACTAAGTGATATATAAATCCGAACAGCCAGTTTAAATGGTTTTATTTTAATAAAAGTTGGTGAATGTATTTATCTTACTGTGAATAACAAGTGAAAAAATTTTAGCCTTATCAGTTGGACATTCCGGTTTTTATACTGCTGTTTTTTAATTCACTAACGCTCTAAAAATGAATATTTCAGCCGCAGTGAAGAATCAACGTTGGCGGATTTTGGTTCTTGACATCCTTTACAATCGGTTACGATGCCTAGAGTACGGAGACCTGTACGATTTCGTCAACTTAGTGAGTTTGATAGGGGCCGTATAGTGGGACTTCGGGAAGCTGGACTTTCTTTTCGGGCAATTGCAGTTAGAGTGCAAAGAAGTGTAGACACTGTGGTTAGGTGTTGTCAGGCACGGCTTCGAGAAGGTCGTACGCAAAGAGCAAGGGGCACTGGACGCCGCCGTAGAACAACAGACCATGAAGATCGCCGCCTAAGATTATTGGCCTTAAGGGACCGTTTCTCCACTACCAGGTCCATTGCAAATGAATGGCTTGCAGAACACGGAAGACCTATTGGCAGACGAAGTGTTTACCGACGAATGAGAAGTTTTGGCTTGTTTTCATACCGGCCACACTGGGTCCTCCCTTTAACTCAAGAACACCGACGTAATCGCCTTGAGTGGTGCAGACAACGGTCACTCTGGCATCAGGAATGGAACAGTATTGTCTTTAGTCTCGATTTCGTTTAGGCATGCACGATGGTCGTGCCAGGGTTAGAAGGCGACGTGGTGAAAGGAGGAATCCACAGTTTTTTGTTGAAAGACATGTTCATCACACTGTTGGAGTTATGGTTTAGGGTGCTATAGCTTATGGTTCCAGGTCCCCTTTAATCTTCATCAGAGGTAACATGAACGCGCAGCGTTATATCCACGAAGTTCTAGAACCCCATCTTTTACCCTATCTTGACACCCTGGCAGATCCAACTTTCCAACAAGATAATGCTCGACCACATGTTGCAAGAGTCACAATAGACTTCTTTCAACATAATGATGTCACATTGTTACCATGGCCACCAAGATCTCCCGACTTATCCCCAATTGAGCACGTGTGGGATATGATGGGTAGGAGATTGCTCAATTTGCAACGTCCTCCTCAGACTCTAGAAGCACTTCGAGAGGAGTTGGTGGTTGCCTGGAATGAGATACCACAGGAGGACATTGACCACCTGATCAGAAGCATGCCTAGGCGCGTTGGAGAATGCGTAGCACATCAGGGTGCATCCACACAGTATTAAAGGTCAAAGGGCTTTAAAGCAGTGCAATCATTTTGAAATTTTTATCATTTACTTATTATGCTTCATTAAGTACTTATACAAAATTTTATTAAAACAAAACCATTTAAACTGGGTGTTCGGATTTATATGTCACTTAGTATATTGGCACGTCATCCAGAAGTATTCTGTATACATATTTGATCTTCCAGACGCTTTTGGTGCGTCACAGTATCCTTCTTCGCACGTACACATGTGAGTTCAAGTGTTGGGTTTCGCCACCGACTTATAGATGGTTGCTCAATAATTTCTATTTCAGTTCGATATCTTCAGGTGGAATACGTTAATCAATGCCAATTAAAATCGGCGCCCTGCTATCGTAGATGGAGCTGGTGTTTGTCTTGGAGGCCGGAATACAATATGTGGTTGGTTACACTGGTGAATAAAATTAAAATAATTTTTTGTGACATGGACAAAACAAGGTGCTTATTATGTAAAACGTACCCAAAATCCGGAAATAGCATTCGATTTTTTCTATCACCCACGGTTGTCTCGCATCAAGGCATTTTATTTGCTGCTTATACTCGTAAAATATAAGGATATGTGTGTAAGAGTACTAATAAACACTCGAATAAACATTAATTTCAGAATGGTGTTGTCGATGTTTTACGGCGATATGTTGCTCCTGAAGTATCTCTTAACAATGTCCAGCAATAATCAACAAGCAAACTGACACTCCATTTGCCTTGATACCGTTTTTCCATTGCAGAAATGTTTTGGTGGAAACGTTCATCATGTTCATCACTTACCGCACCTAAATGTTTCCGAAAAAAATCGAAATGAGAATCCAAAAATTAAATTTTCAGAGACATGTTACATTCCATTCCTTTATACGCATTAATTAGTTCACTCACAATATCTTTATAGTTGTCCGCATTCACATTGCCTAAAAGATTTGCAGTAACTGATTTAAAAGCATTCCAAGCTGTTAATTCAGTTCCAGTTAGAGCACTGTCAAATACATCATTCTTCATGATTTTCCATATTTGTGGACCCACAAATATGCCCTCTTTAATTTTTGCTTCACTAAGTCTCGGAAATGTTTGTTTTATATGCTCTTCCATTTCGATCCATAGCTTTCACAAATGCTTCCATCAGTTCCATCTTAATATGCAAAGGTGGAAGCAACACGTTTTTTTAATCAACTAGTGGTTCATGAGCAAAATCTCGCTCACGACTGTCTCATTCACAAAGAAAACAACAATATTTGATATATCTCAGTTGCATTCTAAGAAGGGCCTTTGAATCTGCACATGTGGCCCATCCATATTCATTATAATGGATATGCTCTAACAGACATCGCATATTTTCATATGATTCCTTCATATGAACTGCGTGGGCTATAGGTACAGATGGATGTTTATTACCGTTGTGTACCAATACCGCTTTTAAACTAAGCTTAGAGGAATCAATGAACAGGCACCAATCATTTGGATCATTTTTTTGTGTCCTAACGCGTCAAACAAATTGTGACATCGGAAATATATCAACAACCTTTCGTGACGGAAACAGTGTGTGAGGTCTTTTTGCCGTTTTTGATAAAAAGTAATGTTGACATGACCGTGGAGAAGATTGCATCCTTTTAAGATTAAATGACGCTAAAAGTTCTGACTGTTGAACATCCTGGCAGGTCAAACGAAGGATCGGAAATTTTTACGCTTTCTGTACCATAACTTTATTAATCTATGGATTCGACTTTTTCATCAAAAGACCAAGATTCTGGTGGACCTGGGATAGAAAGTCTATGCTTAACGGGCCGCAAAGCTGATGGTAAATTAAAATACCTTAACCGTATGTTTCGATTTTGGTCCAACCTTTAATATCTGTGAGGCAAATATATCAATCAGTGGTATGGTCTCTCGGTTCTCTCCAAACGATTGGTACCGCAAAGGGCATTTTACGATTGTCGCCTCTTAACCAACCTGTTAACAACGTTACACAAGTCTTACAACATATATGAGGGGCACATAGTTTATTTTAACTTTAATTCCAAAATAAAGTTCGTATGCTTTCAACACAAGGGAAGTGAATGTACTTTTTTGGGATTTAAAAGTTAGTTCTCACATAACAAATTACTGTTCGCACTATTTACACAATTTCTAGGCATTGTCCATAAAGCTAGTCTCGATCACAATAAACTAAAAACAACACACCATTTTAACAAGAATTAACTGTACTCACCACATTGAGTACTCTTCAACTCAGAAAACGTAACTGACTCGGCTGCTATTAGTCTACTAACAAACGCAATATGCTCTCTAAACATAGAGCTCGCATATAATAAACAGGAATAGACAGGTCTTAACATTATATATGTGCGTTATCGCATAAATGCCGAGAAATGCAGCAATATGAGATGTTACGTATTGTAATTCATAAAAGTAGACGTTACCGAATACCTGTGGGTGTTAGAAACATTCTGCTTTTAGAGTCAAAATACATAAGATATACCCAAAAATTGTCATGTCACAAATCAGTTTATCAGTGTTATCTTGATGTAGATTACGTTAATGAATGATAAAATAGGATGCCCTTATTACCCACTTCCTTTGTTCAAGAACGAGCAGCAGATGTGTTAAAGACAGCGCAGTATATATTTCGCTTAAGTAGGAAAAATAATTTCACCCATGAAACGGTCAAGGTATTTACATTCTGGAAAAACCTTCCACCTGCTATTGGGAAAAGCTTGTCGCAGTAGAAAAAAAGACCTTGATCTACACTTATAATTTAACAATAATAATAAAAAACCACCTAACTAAATTAGCTTCTCCGTCTCATTCCAGGCTGCAGAAAGTGGAAACTTGGAGCAATTCCAGCGCCTCTACTACCAGGACACAACCCGCCTGTCGATCAAAGACAGTCGTGGAAGGACGCCTGCACATCAGGCTGCTGCGAGGAATCGGATAAACATCTTACAGTTTATCCTAGAGCAGGGTGGAGGTGATTATTCGCTTTAATAGCTTATGCTAACATTATGATTGTCACGTAGAGAACTACACAGCTGTACCAGTCAATGCCAGTTTTCATTCAGCAACAAGTTGACATTAGGACTAATGAGTTTGATACATGTGTACTGTACAGTGCTTTTCAAATGGACCACCTCCTACTTGTTGCTTGAATGGGTCAAGTTAGCAAGCTTAAATTCGGATAGGTGAAATCGATGCGTAGGTATCGCTTATTTTAGTGTGAGCGTGCCGGTTGGACGCCCCCTTCGATCGTTTCCTTAAATGGGTGAGACGTTATGTATTTGTATGTACTTAATAACTCCGGAATATAAAATCACGGTCTATCAAAATGGCGGACAGGCCAGTGCTCAAAGTTAAGCGTTTTGTACATTGCGTCTCTTAGCTCAGCAACCAATCACAAACACGTCATGTATCAATGTTTATTCCTCTATTTAAGAAAAGTGTCAAAGTTTCTACCATTTTTTAAACTGTTTATCCCATATTTTATTGCACGTTCAGATAAAACATCCCAATAGCAGAATAGTGATATAACATACTATATAACGCATTACAGATTAGTTGTTGAGATATAAGCTGTTTAATGTACAGAAACGTTCATCTTTGACGTCATTTTGAGAGATAGTGATTACATACTGTAGGATTGTGAAGGACTCATTTAAGAAAATTTTGTATACCTTCATCAAGTAGACAAAATACATAATTGAAAAAACTGTTATCCAGATTGGAACTGGAACACCCTATATAACCTTGAATATTCTTAAAATGTATTTCAATAGGGAGATCAAGGAATGTCAGATTTTGAACAAGCCTCTTATAGAATTTCAATGTAGGTAAACAGGCTATTAGGGATGACAATAAAGAACGTAAATAAGTAACTAACGGCCATTGCATGAGTCTTATTTCGGACACTACTCGAGAAAAAAGGTTGAGCCTATGTTGCTTAAGAAAACGTCCGAAAGTCATTCCCCTCGAGGTGTCGGTAGTTTCATGCTTCACAAAACGCAGAGGAACATTGTTGAATGCAACATGCAAAATGGATACGGTTATGAACAAAATGAAATGTACTTCAAAATGTAGATTATGTGTAATAGAAAAACACAATTACTACCCAAAACAGCGAAGTTAGAAGGATTGTTTTAATGACGATGAAATTGTAAACAAGGAACCAAAATGCAGAACCTAATGAAGCTCCTGATAATTTTCCCAAACAATAAATTTACAAAGAGGTCGGGATGTTCTTTGGGGCAAAAATAAGGGATTTTAACATAAATTGTGTTCATAACAGGCTTTTCAGGATCCCATTTTATTTTCTTAAGAAGCAGCACAATCATACGAACCCCTTCCTAGCGCACCAAGTGGCTGAGTTTTTATTGTATAATAATCGGCGTATAGCTGCATTATTATCTTAAATGTCAAAAAATATCTACAAAGTTTTTGAGCAAATAATGCAATCCATCATGTTGCTCATCGTGGTGGGTATCTTCGTGCTATAGTTTATATATACGAGTAGATATATTTGTCTCTTTCACTTTTCCCTTCTTCTACCTTGCCTGGCTATATTTTAAATGGTGAAACCTTCACCCAGAGTCATGTCCAGTTTCTTCTATCATCTAATTATTTTCTGCATTCAAATAAGTAAACTGTTTCAATAGGGCTATGATTTGTATGTATGCTATATCAAAGCTCATGGGGCTACACTCTTAACGAAAGTACTGGCATCTTGCTTCTGGGTGTCTCGAAGGCATTTGACAAGGTGTTTCACAAGGGCCTTCTCTATAAACTAATTCAAGAGGGGCTTTCCATCTTAGCGAAGGTAGAACATTCCAGATCAAAATTAATAATGTCTTGTCGACAGTACGGCCCATCAGAGCCGGTGTCCCTCAGTGCTCGGTTCTAGGGCCAATCCTTTACTCACTTTTTACGCATGATTTCCATTGCCCTAGCGAATGTGAAGTTTATCTATATGCTGATGACACTGCACTGGTGGCCCAGTCGCGTTCCGGGAATCTGGTTCACGACCGGTTACAAAGTGCGGTGGATGGCGTATTAGTATGGGCATATCGGTGGCTAATCAAAGTTAATTACTCGAAAACTCAGGCTATCTATTGTACTAAAAAAACCTAGCAGCGCCTCGCCTGAAGCTTCAGTGAATGGAGCTCGCATACCATGGGGAAACTCTGCTAAGTATCTCGGTGTCACTTTTGACAGGGGGATGACCTGGCAGAAGCACACGGATGCGTTAAAAACTAAATTTCAAAGCTGAATCGCGCAGCAACCCTCTGTTGCTTGAGTCAGTAGACTACACAGACGAACAAGTTCGCAAGCACACAAGACCGCGGCTCGCACTGTGATCAAAATCAAATCGTGCAATTCTAGGTCCACCCAAAATTACGATTTTTACGCACATAGAAATTCCTTGATTAATTTTTGGATCAATATAAATAACTGAACATCAGTTAACAATAGCAAGGCACCCCTTTAACTGGTGCACCGTCCCCTTTTTGATCTTCCCCCTTCCTTGCTCGCTTTCTTCTTCCTTTCTTTCTCCCTGACTTCGTCTGGTATCTGGGCAACCAGACCTGACCGACCTACAGACCTACGATACGTTAAAAAAGAGCAAAGGTCCCACGGTCCGTTCTGACGGGCAAGACGAGTAGAATCAAACCTCATATCTCGGAAGTGCCTTTCAGAATATAAGGAAATACCCTTTGTGAAAATGCATATTAGTTTTACCATGTAGTTATGAATGTAGAGCTTCGGCCATCGATTACTCAAAAATTTGGTCAGAATGGTGCGCTCGATTGTACCGAAAGCATCTGCTATCTACCAACTTACCTATTTTGAATTAAATATTCCATATCTTATTCATTTTTGGATTCTACGCAACGATCTGAATATGTTTCACGTACAACATCACACATGTTTTGATATTTATAACAATAACTGATCTTCGCAATAGCTTCAACTAGATATCTCTGTTGCAGATATAAATAATCAAGACAATGCTGGTAATACACCTTTGCATGTTGCAGTGGAGCACGAATCTTTGGACGCCGTCGACTTCCTCTTACAGAGGTAAGGGATTAAATATTAATGTTTCGAGAAAAATCATTCTAAATGCAAATTTAGAAAACTGAACCAAATTGTTCACAGAAAAAGGGTGTAGGAGAAGTTATATCTACGTCGGATATAGGTGAATTAAATAATAATTTCTAATTCGGGTCGACTTCCAGTAAAGAAGCGAGGTGTAGAAGCTGGAAAATGCTCATTCAAGGACTTTTAGATCACGGAAATTCTGCAGTCAGTCCATCCGTCGGTTTGGTCAATCATGTTTGCTCAAAAAGGTGTATCTATTGAAATTTACTCTGTTGGTTTGGCCAAAATCTGTCAGTATTCACAGAACAGAATGCGACATTTCACATCAGATCCACCAGGTGTGCTGTTGGTGCATTCGCCACAAGAAGGCTTCCATTCGATAAAATATCAAAAAACACATGTATTTACGATAGGACGCAAAGGTGTAAATCTTTTTGGGGAGTTGAGGTGCATTTTGCAGCTTATCGAGGTGAGGATTCTTTTTAATTTCGATTTTATAACTCTTTCTCACACAGGGCTCTAAAAGCCAATCAGTTAGGTGTCAACTTACAAGTTTACGAATTATTTCTGTTTTCATAAAGTTATGAATCAGACTTTTCGCAGATCATTTTTCAACCTTATATTTAGATTAGTATCAAAAGAGAATTGTCAAAACCCTGCGAAGCCCGCCTAAAGTTCCCTAGATTAAATTAACTTATGTTGAACACGATATGGCGACCACGGGAATTATATGTTGTGCTAGGCGACATTGTAAGTATTGGTAGCACCATAGTACAGTCGACTTATGTTTATTTGAAATTCTAATTCTTTCGACCAATAGCCGCTTGCTTAACGTCGGATCAGATACTTACATGCCTATTATCGACCATGTACCACCACCACCATGTACTTTTCAGCCTATGGATTTTGTTCACCTACTGAGTCCGTAGCTGGAAAGGTGTTAATTATTACCTGAAAGATTTAATTTTTAAATTCTTTGCGAGATTGTGAATACATCTCACGTTTGACATCCTATACCCAAATACTGTTATGAGATGTCTCAGATACTGTGTAAAGGCCAAAGAATTGAAAGATGAGGCTTCTTGTAAAGTACCAAAATCACATAACATTTTCTTCTAGTATTTTGATCACTTACCAGTTATTTGGATTTCTGTTTATTAATGAGAGAGTACTGATACCTATGCCAAACACTTTTCAATAATTTTCTTTTGGCAAATTACATAATTTATTGATCTATTGAGCTCAAAACCACCTAATGCTGAAATTATAATTTCGCACATTATATTATATCTTTCTTTCTTAGCGACTCAGTATTGTATTGAAGTATTTTGGATACTAATGTTATAATAATTTATTAATGACTATCTCAGAAAATTCTTCATAAAATATCGTTGGTCCCTCATAAACGGTCCGCCCACAGGCAACCAGCGCCCTGCTACTTTTGACATTGATTGACACTTTGACTTGACCGACTGACTGACTGTCGGTCATTTTCTAGTTGAAGCCTCGATTGAGAAGCTGTCGGTCCTCATTTGGTTTTCAAATTTTGGGATATTGGGCCACAATCACCAATTTATGGAGTAGTGCCCTTTTTGTATCAACCTTACCTTTAGTTGTTTATATTGGTTGCTTCTTGGTTGTTACTCTCCATTTTTATGGGATTTTAACCTCTTCACCGTTAAGTTTTTGTTATACCATGTGATCACGTGCATTAATGCATGTCCCGGAAAACCACCATCTGTACTCCTCCAGCTTTGTAGCTGATTTATAGCCGATTTTGCTGGGACCACCCCTTTCTCTTGACAAAAAACCCTGATGTAAACAGGTGAAATATCATTTTAATTAACTCTTTTACAGATATTTATCTATTGATTGTCGACTGAAATTCTTAGAGTAAACTTGATTTTGTTTGTCAGTTTTCGTATTCAAATATGGGGCAGTATCTACATTGGCACCTTCTATTCTCCATTACATTGATCATGATTTTGATTTCTGAGTTACGATAACTTTTTAGAACAAAGGATAACTTTTTGAGGGTGTATTACTAAAATACATTTTTTGCATTTGCCTTTTTTCTATCAATGTAGATGGTTTTTCAAGTTCAAGTCTTGTCTTGTTTTTTTACACCGTAAATTTTGAATATGAGGCAAGCAGCCCCTACCTTGAGAAGTTGCTTACAACACTGTCCACAACTGGCCACTGGTTTTAACCTGAGCTTTTGTGAGCTGATGTCATCTCGGTTGCGCCTAGAGCCGTGACCTTTGTGCGCATACCTTGGTAAACGTATTGCAGGGTTAATTATCACGGTTTAATAATTTTATTCTGCCGGAGTCTTAAATAATATCTCTTTTTTAGCCTGCACTCCAGTGGTGTAACATATATGTGTTATTTAATTGGTTAATATATTGTGATTGTCTTAAATATCTTGCGTTTTATTTGGTTCTCTGTACAATTAATTAGTTTACGTCATTGCTGCCAGATTCTTTTCTTTTCTGTGGGTGGTCAAGCAAGTTCCGGCTAACCTCTCGAGAATTTGTGGCTTAATCTGTCTTGAGCCACTGGCGCTCTTAACCCCCCTACTGTCCTCTTTATTGAGCTAGGACCTAAATTTGCACGTCAGTAGACAGCTGTTTTGCGTTGACTAACCATTTGGTTTTATCTCGTGATTTATTAAATTATTAATTAACTACAAAAAAAAGGAGGAGTCTCACCACCATTTTCTTTAGGCCCGTATCGTCAGTCGTCCCTACAATTGTAGGGCTCGTTTATGGCCTTTTTGATTTCGATAATATTACGTCTTCTTCGGTAACGCAGACGTATGTCCTCCTTTTGATTTCCGACATCTGACAGTTCTGGCTTGAGGTTGTTTTGACGTTCAAGTCACATGAGACATGACAGAAGAACCATAATTTATAATCACTCAAAAACATCTCGCTACATTGAACCACAACCTGTGGTATCTTCAAGAAATTGTTGAGTTAGGAAAATTAATGCACATGGATATATTATACTATAATATATTTGTGTGTATGAAAGTCCAGAAGCTTACAACCAAGCTTGATGGAGGTTGGTAAGTAACAAAACAAATCATTGCATATCCATATTATATACTTATCGCATTATTTTCAGGTGTGATTCATTATCACAGACTTTACGAGAAGTTGGTTCCTCAGTAAAATGCTATATTTACTTTGGAAGGGTAAGGAGGTGAATGATCTTTCTAAGAAGGAATTTATGCATCCAGGCATAATTGAAGGAATCTTACAGAAACAAAATGTGAATTTGATTTATGTGACCGATATGTGCTACACTGCAATTTTTTAATTAAAGCCTGGCATAAACCTGTATGACCGTAGTCATAATGATAAGAATGAACACTTACGAACTTGAAGACAAGCTGTGCTAAGCAAGTATGTATAATGTGTAACGGTTCTGAAATTGAGTCCATGGTAAATTCACAATCATGATTTCAGGATACTAAAAAGAGCATGGGCGTGTAGGAGCACCAATTATGAGACGTTAAAAGGTGTAAATGGGAAAATGGAGTTGCAGCATGAAGTTAAATTCTTCATTACTTTGTACCATCATGGCAGAAAATTCCACAACTAATTACAAGAAAACTGTGGGAACCAATTCCCTGTATAAAAGTCCAGAAGCTTACAACCAAGCTCTTCTCTTGATGCAGGGTGGTAAGTTACAAAACAAATCATGGGATATTCATATCATATACTTATTGCATTATTTTCAGGTGTAATTCATTCAAACAGACTTTACAAGAATTTAGTTCCTCCATGGATAACAAACATATCCCGAATGCAACTGCGTTGTTGATGTCAAGATGCCTGTTCACAAATAATTACTGGACTCTATGTGAAGTTTCAAGCTAAAAAAAGGAAAATGTGTGTATGTGAAGATCGTAATTACCATTTATCATTGTTATTTCAGGATGCTTGAAATACCATATCCATGTAGGATTACCAAATATGAAGTATTACAGGGAGTAAACACAGTTGTAGCATGAATTTAAATCAGAAAAACAGAAATTCAAATCTCAATACTAAAAGTTTTTAATTGATTTGGAACCCTAACTTAAAAGGGAAAATCTATCAAAAGTATGGCATGTGAAAGGAAAGCATTTTCGGGTTGAAAAAGAAATATCAAGAATTAAACTGGTTTGATATTTGAAACACTCATATGAAAAGCAGAGTTTTTTAGTTATGATAGAAGCAGCAAAAAAAATCTTTGGCTCAAAAGTGTGCATTTACCTCTTGTAATACTAGGAGCTGCAATTCAGTGTGTTTCCTAATTGTACATGAGTGATGAGGCAGTTCTTTAATTTCCACCAGTGATGCTATTAAGGAATTTCACCTGCTTATTTTGACAGGCAGTAATGGATGCCACTGATGTATCTTTTATTAAATTTTTTAATCACATCTAAGCAAATTTAATCACATGGATGTTTTTCAATCTTATGTAGGGTTTTCATAAAAACTGTCTCTGAATATTGTTAATATGACAGTATCACCATGCAGCGAAATAGTTTCTATTTTTTGGGTGGAAATCATAGTTCTGACTAAAAAAAATTCTTTTCAAAAATACTGTTTATTTATACATAGTGACATTGTGATACTAACGATATTAGGATTATGAAGAGAAACAGTATTTTAATTTCATAAAATTTGCTCAGAAATCACTGATGATTTTAAGAGCAATATTTTATTTTAAGAGAAATCAGTTGCCTATTATCATTGTCTGCCAAAATAGGCAAGTGAAATTCGTATGAACGCCACTGGCGGGAATTCAAAGAAAGTTGCATTAAAAATACCTCTGGATGTACATCTATGCCAAACTTTGATAAAGTATTTGAAGTGGTATTCCAGATCTTTACAAAAAATTTTATTAACCTTTGAAGAGTTTACCACTCTGTTTCTCAAAGGTCAAGAGATTTAGGATATACGTCATATGAAATATTCTTAAAA